GAAGTGTACCAGGAAATAGCAAGAACTTGCAAGGACAAAATCAGGCAAAGATAAAGAATGAGCTGCACCTGGCAAAGGAGGTTAAGGACAACAAGAAGAGATTGCATAAGTATGTTGGCCAGAAAAGAAGAACCAAGAAAACTGTGGGTCCTTTGTTAAGACAGGGGGATCTCCTGATTGAAGAACCAAAGAATATGGACCTACTTAACTGTTCGTACCGTTCATATTTTATCCTGTCAGCATATTCCTTTGTTCCAACAGACCCATCACAAGCATACCTCATAATTTGGTCTTTTACTGGTGTCTTAAGTTGGGCATGCCATGACCTCTTACTTTGGTCTGTCCACCAACACTGGAAATCCAAGGAATCTGAAGTTGGGCAGTGTCCTATTTGGTCCCCTGTTATCACCTGTAATTGCCATATTGTGGCAGGGTGCCCTGGGGGTGCCGTGACCTCCCCTAGCGCCCCTACCTACCGTGCCAAATTGGGGTCTTGAATGCACCCTCTATCTCGCCCGCCACGTCTTGTTGTTATATTATTAATGGGAGGCTGCCTTCCTGCCCTCCTTGGCACGGGGCCTGCCTTGCTATACCGGGTCTCTATCTGACGTGCTCGCTCCCCCCTCAGGTCTGCTTGGTCTGTTCGCCCACCCTGGAGCTTACTGCGTACATGCCCTCCCCGGGGCTTCCCTGGGTATGCGCCCCCTCCCGGGCTTCTCAAACAGCTCACCCTCTTCTGGGGCTTTTTCCTCACCAACAGTGCCCCACTGGGTCTGTCTCCCTGCACTCACCATGCTTGTTCCCGCCCACGCTGGGTCCTGTGCTTGTGCTCCTCGCGCTCCTTGCCCACACTCGGGCCTGTGCTTGCGCTCCTCACGCTCAGGGCTCAGGCGGCCTTGGCCTTACCTGGCCCCAGACCCCTTCTAGGGTCCTATGCCCGACTCGGGCTTCTCCCAATTGGGGCTCAGGCGGCCTTAGCCTTACCTGGACCCCAGACCTGCCTTCTTGGGCCTATGCCCTACTGGGCTTTTCCCAATTGGGGCTCAGGCGGCCTTAGTCTTACCTGGCCCCCCAGACCCCTTTCCTGGGTCTTGCGCCCACTGGGCTCATCCCGATATCGCCTGCACTGCGGCTGGGGTTGGGACACCCCAAATGCAGTGCTCCCTACGGTGCTAGGAACCCCCCCCCTCTACTGGGGAGCTCCTAATGAGGCCTCCTCCACACCTACAGCCTCGCCCAGTCCTCCGGTTCATAATTACAACTATCAACTCCAAACAGAAACTCAAAGCCCCTCGGCTACAACGTAAATCTTAGGCCAACCTGGCTAATCTTCTCTCATCCCTGTCAGGGTCCTCTCCACCCTGTATCTGCACGCCAATGCACAACACTGCCCTGCTTGCTCTAGCAGGGCTTCTGCTCCTTAGGCTGCCAGAGGGGACCTGACCTCTGGCCGCAACATCCTCTGTTTATAAAGGCCAGGCCCTGCCCCCTTCCGGTCAGCTGACACAATCAGTTGCTTTAGCAACTCCCACCTGTGCTGCCCTATTAAGTGGCAGCTAAGCCCATGTTACCATTGTCAGTAGCAGGCACCTTAGTGCCCTGCTACACATATCCAATCATTTCATCTCTCTAACGTATTCGGTTAGTGCCAAGTTCAGTTAATTTGAGCTGGTAACAAGGCTAACACTATGCTGATAATGTTAAAACATAAAGCTACCTTTCTTACATTGATAAGAAAGGAAAGAAACTGTGAGGGAAAACTCACAGCTATAGCTGACCATTCAAATACCAAAAAGCAGAACCAGAAGAAACAAAAGAAGGTTCAAACAATACTGTAATTCACCACTCAAACATGTGCAACTAAAGCAGAATGTGACAAGCTACCTTAACAGTCCCACTGCCTGATGCTGTTCAACATTTTATTAATGATTTGGATGCTGGCACAGAAAGCTTCTTCAGCAAGTTTGCAGATGACAAGACTGGGAAAGATTGTGAACGTGCTGGAGGATGTGAGTGCAATTCAGAAAGATCTTGATGGATTGGAAAGTTGGGCTAGAGCTAACAGGATTGATAGATTGTTTGGGGCTGGAAGGGACCTTGTAGATCATCGGGTCCAGTGCCCCTGCACTAGGCAGGAAAAGACAACTGGGGTTAAGTGACCCCAGCAAAGTGACTGTCTGGTCTCCTTTTGAAGTTTTCCAGGATAGGTGACTGCACCACCACTGGAGGGAGTTTATTCCACAGTCTGGACACCCAGACTATGAAGGAGTTTTTTCTGGAATTGAGCCTGAAGGAGTCTTCCAAGAATTTGTATCCATTGTTCCTGGTCTTCCCTAGGGGTGCCCTGGTGAACACCACCTGTTCAGCGAGTTCTTGATGTACTCCCCTGATGCAGCAGTAAGCTACTACCAAGTCCCCTCTCAGTCTTCTCTTCTGTAGGCTGAAGAGACCCAAATTCTTCAGCCTCTCTTCATATGGCTTGTCTTGCAAGTTCCTGATTATATGCGTGGCTCTTCTTTGGACTGTCTCAAGTTTTTTCCACATCTTTGTTGAAGTGCGGTGCCCAGAACTGGATTCAGTACTCCAGCTGTGGTCTCACCAGGGCAGAGTACAGTGGGAGTATCACTTCCTTAGTTTTGCATGAGATGGAATGGTTAATGCATGCCAGTGTGTTTGCTCTGCTGGGCACCACTGGCTCATGTTCATGTGATGGTTGAACACTACCCCTAGGCCCCTTTCGGCTGTGGTACAAGTCAGATTGTCGCCACCAAGTCTGTAGGTATGTTGGGGACTGTTTGCCCCCAGATGGAGAAGCTTATACTTCTGAGTGTTAAATTTCATCTGCTTCTGGTCTGTCTAGCTCTTCAGCCTGTATCTGCAACCTATCTTCTGGCATGACCATGCTCCCCCATCACTTGGTGTTGTCTGCAAACATGGCTAGTGAGCTCTTCACCCCCACATCCAAATCATTGATAAAGATATTGAAAAGCACTGGTCCAAGCACTTACTCCTGAGGGACACCACTGGCTACTTCTCACCAGGACAACACATATTCATTCATGAGAACTCTCTGGGTCCTACTCTCTGGCAGCCAGTTTTCCATTCACTGAACTGTTGAGCAGTTAAGCCCACAATCTTTCAAATTTTCTACAGGGATATCATGGGATACTAGATCAGAAGCATTTTGGAAGTCTAGGTATATAATGTTGACCTTCTCTCTCATGTCCAGGGGGCGAGAGACCTGTTCATAAAAGGAGATGAGATTGGTAAGACAAGACCTACCCACGACAAAGCCATGCTGGCTGTTGTTCAGAATCTTACCCTCAATGAGAGTATGACATATAGATTCTTTAATGAGTTTTTCCAGGTTTTTCTCTGGGATGGAAGTTAGGCTGATTGGCCCATAGTTGCTCAGGTCCTCCCTCTTCCCCTTCTTAAACATGGGCACAATGTTGGCACTCTTCCAATCTTCAGGGATCTCCCTTGCGTGCCATGATTTCTGAAAGAGTTTTGCCAGGAGTTCTGCAATAACCTCAGCCAGCTTCATTGGCACTCTTGGGTGAAGTCCATCTGGTCCTGGTGACTTAAAAAATGTCTAGCTTTTCTAGTTGGTTGTGTACCAGCTCAGTATCCACAGTGGGAAGGACATCATTCCTACCATGCCCCCTGTGATCCTTATCTTGGTTGTCTTTTCTCTTGGTCTGGTGAAATGCTGATGCAAAGTGGGCATTCAGGAGTTCAGTTTTTTCCTGAGTGTCCATTACCAGCTGTCCCAAGGTGTTAAGCAGGGGTCCATGCTTCCATTTGTTTTCCTTCTGCTTCCTACATACCTGAAGAAGGATTTCTTATTGTCTTTGACTCCTTTGGCTAAGTTAAACTCAGTCACCGCCTTAGCTTTCCTAATCATTTCCCTACAAGTCCGGGCCACTGTTGTATATTCCTCCTTGAGGACTGTCCCCAACTTCCACTGTGTGTATGCCTCTTCTTTTCTTTTTCAAGAGGACTGCAATGTCCCTATTGGGCCAGGAGGGCTTGCCAGCCCTTCTGCTACCTTTCCTCTTCATGGATAAAGTTCATAAAGACAAATGCAAGGTACTACAGCTTTGGAGGAATAATCAAAAACACAGATATAAAATGGGTGACACCTGGCTGGATAGCAGCACTTGGAAATCTTAGTAGATCCCAAAAGGACGTGGGAGTCTTAGGTCACAGATTGAGTATAAGTCTTCACTGTAGTGCAGCAGCTCAAAAGGTGAAAGTGGTTTAGGGATAAATCAATAGAAGCATTAGGTGCAAGACGCAAAAGGTGATTACTTCCCTACTTGGTGCTAGTTAGGCTTCATTGGGAGTACTTTGTGTAGTTCTGGGCTCCACATTTTAATAACGGTATGGAGAAATTAGAGAAGGTCCAGAAGCACGCAACAAAGATGATGAAGGGCTCGGAAAGCAAGTCATAGGAGGAGAAACTGAAGGCATTAAGTCTGTTCAGCTTGCAGAAAAGGTGCTTAAGAGGGTACATGATACCTGCGCGGGGTTGAGCTTGGGCAGGTGGTGCTGGTTATCTTCCTTAAAGAAAAACCAAACTGGACAAGCTTAGAAGCATTTTAGGATAACCCATTTTGTGCCTTTTTTTTTATATACAGATGCGGGTAACTTCAGCGAAATTTGGGATCCCTCTTTCTCAGATCGTACCTGTTAAGAATTACTGCTCAGAGTTGGAGCTGACGTGCAATGTTGATATCCTGATACTTTCTGCATTAAGGCAGATGATACGTTTAGCAGACAGCTATCTTGACAACTTCACTTATGAGGAGCCAAAGAAGAAGACCCTGTGAGATTAGTATAGTGTTGGTATTTTGTGCCATTATCAGACTAGCCTTTTAAAAAACCTGACACCAGAAGTTAAACTTATTGCTGCCTGAAGCCAATGCAACTTCATTGGCTTCAGTAGACTTGCAGCTCCTTATGCTAGTGGTGAATTTGATCCAAGAGATTTTTATTTGGCTATAACCTGCATGCATTAAAAGAGAGTGTATTCTTTAGCTTTCAAGGTAGAATCCATTTATTAAACGTGTTGTAGCCTGCCTTTCCCGATTTCCACTGTATGAATAATCTGTACAAACCTTTAGGGAAATTACCTAAAGGTATTACTTTCCTAGTGATTTAACCTGTGTTATTACCTGCTAATGATAGTTGCTTGCACTCTATATATTGTTTATTTTTTCTCTTAAGCTAGTTCATAACACAATACAGTCTATCTAGTCTAACATTACTATAGCTCAAAAAACACATTTATTAGGTGAATAATTATTACCTTTCAGATATAGATACATTACAGCATCCATTGCAAAGATGGAAGCATTATGCTATTATCACAGTTAAACTGATAATTTGCAATAGGTAGGAAACATGCTATTGACATGGAGAAAGAAGTTTGAATTAATTTGGGAGTTTTGTTGTATCACCTATTCTTTTAAAAAAAATTCCAAGAAAATTCTAAACCATGTACTGTAAAACTTTGTATTACATTTAACTAGAAAAATAAATCACTATGAGCACATTTTCAAAGGAACTTTTTCTTTATCCAGATATAGGGATGGTCAAGACAGAGGGATCGGATTGGTTTTTGCCTTCATTGATTCGAGACAGATTTGCAGATTCGAGATAGATTGGTTTTATTGGCATTAGGAGATATCCTACATTGGGGTACTCAGCCTTTGGCCCATGTGCCAAATGCAGTCTGTGGAGAAGTGGTATCCAGCCCATGGGGCTCCCCATGGGTTGGGATATTTGGTGGTATGGGAGCTATGACAAATAATATGGCCACCCTTTCTTTCTGCCAGATTCCCAAGCCCAAGCCTTGCAATGGGTCAGAGTTGGGCCACAACTCCTTCAACCAGCCTCCCCCCTCGCCCCCCCCCAGCATGGCCAGATTGGCTGTGCTCCCTTCCCCACATGGGGCTGGGCTATGATCCCTTCTTCCCCTCCCATGGGGCCAAGTTGGGGCTGTGCCAAGTCCCCTTTGCCCCCCACCCCTATGCGGCTGGATCAAACTCCTTCCCCCTGCAGGGCTGGGCTGGGGCCAGGCTGCCCCCTCACCCCACTATGGCTGGATGGGGCCCCACCATGCCCATTCCAGGCACAGCATGAGACCACCAATTAGATCTGGCCTGCAGATTAACCAAGTGCTGCCCATCCAGCCCACTGGGCAAAAAGTTTGAACACCACTGCCCTATAGTCATACCTGGGCATCTAGAAATGGAATTTTTCTTAGATACTTTAAAAGGTAAAAAAAATATAAGATGCAGAGACAAATATAAAAATTGTAATCAGGTTGTAACTGCCAGAAATAGTTTCCACATCTGATCCCTGAAGGTACATTTAGGCAAAGAGTTTGTTAGGTAAGAATTGAACTAATTAAAATTGAGTAGCATGTATTATTGGATGAGGAGGCCTTTTGTGTTTGTTAAATGACTTGGTAAAGTTTGCCCTCTTGTGGCAGAGAGTTCACAAATTGTGGATGTTTAGAAAATGTTGCACATAAAGCTTTAGCAAGAACTTGGATGCAGGATTTTATGTAGGCTCATTTTTATGATTCCATCTCTTTATAATTCTCTTTTTTGTGAGCCCACAACAGTTTTGGGAGGTGTTTTTATTACCCATAGTTTTTTATTTGATGCATGCAAGCCTGCCTCCAGTTGCCCCTTTCTCAAGAGGGCAGAGGCACATAGTGGACCACCAGGGCTTTTCCCCAAGTGGCTGGTGGTAAATTAGGGCCTCCTTGTGCCCCCTGGTGTTTTGCTGCGTCAATTTACTTATCCTCTAGAACTTCATTTTGTAAGGATGTCGCTACTTGAATCCAAACTTGTCTTCAGCAAAAAACAACTCGAACTGTGTTACATACCACAACTAGCAATTGAGGTCCTAAACATAGCAGAAAACTAAATATGATCTGAGGCAAAAATCTCTTGGAAAATGGAAACCCAAAAACTGTAGAGCTGCAAAACGATATTTTATCTTACCTTTCCTCAGTCTGCCATTCAAAAAAATTATTGTAATTTTTAGCCTGGTGAAACCACCTTAGTTTGGCAGTATTTGTTCCTGCATTCTGTTGTCTATACATCACTTTAAGTGGTCTTCTAATATTTTTGAAGTTGGGGCCTTTTTGTCGTTTTTCAGGTTTGTGTGCCATAACTAGTTCAGTTATTTCACCTGTGTTAAGTCTGTGTCACCACTGAGAGAAAGGAAGAAGAGGTGGGCTTTTTAACTTGGAAACGATCAGTTAGGAGGTTTCCTGCAGGAAAAAATGTTGGTGAAGTTAAGTGACCTTCATGCTAAATACCTATTGACTTGTGGCACTTGGTTAAAAATAGCTTCAGCAGGCCTGTTCCATCCATCTGTGGTGCCTCAGAATGAACTCTCTATGCATCTCTGATTCAGTTAGCCTATAAGATGCATCTCTAACCTGGCTTCTGTCTATACAGGCCAGATCCAGCCCTCAGCATTATATCATCTGGCTCAAGGGACTCCCCACACATCTTTGGGGAGCTGTGTGAGCCATGGCCCTGCACTTGAGAGAAGCCCTGTGGCTCCCTGCACACCCTGATCTTGGCATACGGGGCTGAATTCTGCTGCTCAGAGCCTGGTTGGCAGCTGGAGTATGGCTCTGGCTGGCTAGGCTCTGGTTTTGAGCAGTGTGTGCATGTGCAGGTCCATTTTTTTTTGCACTGTTTTTTGTTTGTTTGTTTGGACCCTGGATATCCAGGGGTCAACCCCTACACCCTGCATGCTGCTCCCTTGCAGTGCAGAGAGCACCTGAATGTATGTTATGTGGCACCACAGATGTGTCTGCGGCACCACATACCGCACAGATGCACTTGTCTGGACATGGCCATGATGTCTCTGCATGTAGCTGTTGCTTTCATGGCAAAAACTTCACAGGAGGCTGACATTCTGGCATCTCCTCTCAGTCAGCTCCCTGGGCTGATGCCCCACTTGCCCACTCTTAGTTACCATACTGGCTAAAAAACTACATTTATAGCTTAGAGGTGGTTACAAATTCACATATTCTGTGACACAGAAAGGGCTGTGTAACACACAGCAAAATGTCTGACTACCAGTGCAGACAGGGACATACATACCTCTAAGCTCAATATACAACTGCAAAAAGTTTACAAGACATTAGGATTCATGGGACAGACATGGTGAGCAGTTCAGAAATACTTCACTACCATTACAAAAAAAATCAATACTGTGGCCTTATCTGAAACCTGGTGTGCAGTCCATGTCACCTCATATCAAATTGGATACTATAAAATATGAGGGGTTTAAAGAATGGGAATATGAACAAAACCAATCTGAAAATATAGTCTTTAAGTAAATGGTTCTTCTGTATATTATCCATGTATTTGGAATAAAGAGATAACGTGTTCACACAATTTACACACACAAATAGATATTGGTGTGCTGAGTGCTGAAAGTATAAAGACCATTTCCTGGACAAATTCAGTAGCCAGTATAATTTGTATTATAGAGAAATAAGGGTTAGGAAAGGTGTCAGAATCTTCAAGAAAGGGATGGGGCATGATTTTTAAGAGTACGCTTCCATTATAAATCAATTCCTTACATGGAAGTTCAGGGCTATGCTCACTTAAGATTCTCATACCAGACATTCCTCTAAGTCCACTGAAGGGCTCCGATAAGCATGCACGCTCATAACCGCACCTGACAGATATTTATAGGATTGAGCCCCACACAAAGCACAGAAGCCATTGCCATGCTCTTTCAAAAAAAGGAGGTCCTATGGTAGCCTTTGTTTGTAACATACTGTCCTAGCCTTTGGTTCAGCCAGTCTGTCCTTACACATGAAAAAGAAAAAGAGAACAACAGGAACATAGGATTGCATTTTTACACAAGCTTCCAGTCAAGGATTTCAAGTCATTGAACAAATAACAGTAAAAAAGCACACTATTGCTGAGAGTGAAGATACTAGTATTAAACCTGAGGGCCCCAAGCCAGCTGCAGGAGTCGAGGTTTGTGGCAGTGACTTGGTCATGTCTCTTGACAACAAATTGTGTCTGCTTGAAAGAATGCTTGCTGAAGCATCCTGTGACGGCTAACCAGCATTCAGAGGGTTAAACCTGGTTAAACCTAGAAGAAAGAGTGTAAGAGGAAGCCGTTGTAGTTAAGCATTTCCTGTGTTTTGTTAATGCATTTTGCTATAGCTTAAAGCCAGCTTCGTTAGTGATGGCACAGCTAAAATGAATCATATAAGGAAAACACAAAGGCTTGTACTGCTATTGGTTAGTCAAATAAGGAAAGTTTGTAGTATAGAACTATAATTGGCTGCAAGCCAACAGCTAGCTCAAAAATCTATAGATTTGCCAGTGTATCTGGAAATTGGCTGAAGGAAGGTGCAGCGTGGTAAAGGAAGCTATCATTGTGAAAGAGAAGCCACAGACCTGGGACCGGTGGGGTGGTGGGTCCTGAGAGGCCCGAAGACTGATTACCAGTGTCCTTCCTGGTAATCCCTTTGGACAGCGTAGACTGGGGATGCCTGACTTTGCTGGATTTCGAGAGGCTTGTCGTATACCAGGCATAAAAGGGGACTGCCAATAAGTTGCCAACTCAGAGATTTACTGTCTGTCTTTGTTGTGTTGTTAAGCTTTGCGTAATTACATGTTTGTTAGATCAATAAACCTTTCTTACCTTTTTACCCCGACCACTCTCTCAATCCCAAACCAACCCACTGCAGGCAGCTGGGACAGAGGTGGATATTATCCATCTGGACTTTAAGAAGGCTTTTGACATGGTATCACATACCATCCTTATTAATAAACTGAGGAGATTTGCCATGGATAATTATATGGTAGAAAGGGTAGAGAACTGGCTCAGAGGTTGCACTCAGAGGGTGGTGGTGGATGGGTCAGTGTCAATCTGGAAAGATGTGTGCAGTGGAGTCCCTCAGGGCTCATTTCTGGGGCTGGTGCTGTTCAATATCTTCATCAGTGATCTGGATGAGGGGGTGGGAAGCACCCTGTCCAAATTCGCAGATGACACTAAAATATGGGGTGAAGCTAACACCCTGGAGAGGAGGAACTAGATCCAGGCTGACCTCGACAGGATGGGGAAGTGGTCAGAGAACAACAAGATGCAATTCAATAAGGACAAGTGCAAGGTGCTACATCTAGGGAGGAAAAACTTCCATCATACCTATAGGCTGCGGGGGGTTGACTTTCTCAGAACCACTGAGGCAGAAAGAGATCTTGGAGTCACTGTTGTCTCCAGGATGAACATGAGTCAATGTGATGAAGTAGTTGGCAGAGCCAATCGTACCTTGTCATGCATCCGTAGGTGCTTCACAAACAGGTCCAGAGTGGTGATTCTCCCTTTCTATGTGGCACTGGTCAGGCTGCAGCTGGAGTTCTGTGTCCAGTTCTGGATGCTGCAGTTCAAACGGGATGCAGATAACTTGGAGAGGGTCCAAAGAAGAGCCACTCATCTGATTGGAGGCCCGCAGGGAAGGATCTATGAGGAAAGGCTAAAGTACTTCAACCTTTT